GCAAGAACCCCAACACTAGGGATGAGCATGGGTTTGGTCTGAACTTAGGCTTGAAATCGAACCCAGTTCGATATCTGGGTACGTCTATGGGTGGCTGTAAGCAGTACATGGATTTTCTGGGTGGGGAGGCTTAATTCCGTAGTGTACGTTGTATGGCGCAAGCTAATCAGGGCAAGAACCCCAACACTAGGGATGAGCATGAGTTTGAGCGCAGACTGATCAGGGGCAAGAACCCCAACACTAGGGATGAGCATGGGTTTTGGTGCAGGCTTATCGGGGGCAAGAACCCCAACACTAGGGATGAGCATTGTTTTGGTCTGATCTTAGGCTTGAAATCGAACCCAGTTCAAAATCTGGGTACGTCTATAGGTGGCTGTAAACAGTACATGGACTTTCTGGGCGGGGAGGCATAATTCCGTAATGTACGTTGTATGGGTGCAGGCTGATCGGGGGCAAGAACCCCAACACTAGGGATTAGCATGGGTTTGGGTGCGCAGGCTGATCGGGGGGTGCAAGAAGAACCCCAACACTAGGGAGTAGCATGGTTTTGGGCGCAGGCTGATCAGGGGCAAGAACCCCAACACTAGGGATGGGATGAGCATGGGTTTGGTATGAACTTAGGCATGAAATCGAACCCAGTTCGATATCTGGGTACGTCTATGGGTGGCTGTAAGCAGTACATGGACTTTCTGGGCAGGGAGGCATAATTCCATAATGTACGTTGTATGGGCGCAGGCTGATCAGGGGCAAGAACCCCAACACTAGGGATGAGCATGGGTTTGGTCTGAACTTAGGCTTGAAATCGAACCCAGTTTGATTTCAACCTGGTGGCTAATCCGCTGCGGTCCGGGCATACAAAACCAAGTGGCAGGAGTGTTCATGACATGGCCAAGCATCCCCAATCTGGCCAGAATGACTGCTTGGGTCATGGTCTTTCTGGGTTTGGTCCAAACTTATATTCTGGCCAAACCCATGCTTATCTCTACCTAACACTTTATGATAAAGTCCAGCTAACATCAGTGGGACTTCCTGCACAGGAATATATGGAACACCTGAGCATCCCTGTGCGAGAAAACATGGTGTACACTTTAGTATGACTAATGTGATTGAGGCAAAAAAAAAAAAAAAAGTAATCTCTGGTGTACTTACTCATAAGCAAGGCAGTCTGGGGTGTCCAAACTCTGGAGGAACTCTGTGCAGCCATTATTCATCCCGGTGCAGTCCAGATAATTCTCCATTGTCTACAGAGAAGAATGTCCTGTATAGATCACTTGACCTTCTTAGTGAGGATGGACAAAGACCAGAGACATGCGACTTTGACGTTATCAGACGTCACTCTTCAGACCATCTTGAGGGGTTAGGAGGGTCAGATGACGTCATTCTTATCTCTGTAATGAAGACACAGACCTAACTGGAGACCTGAAGAGGACTCTTTGAAGTCTCTAGTGACAGTAATCATTTTCTTTCTTTACACAGGATTATGAAGTGGTGAAGAAAAAATCTGGTGATCCATTAGAACCAGCAGCCATCTTAATAGGACATCACCCATCACAGTGCCTCCACCTCATTGCCTGACAACAGAGGTACCAAGAAGATTCTAGAAGCCACCAAGATCATTGAGCTGCTGACAGGAGAGGTGAGCGGTGTTGGGAATTCTGGGCCATTCTCCAGTAACAGACAAGGGATGTGTCTGGATGGTGACTGTATTATTGTGTGTGTCAGGTTCCTGTAAGGTGCTAGTCACTGACTATTTCTCCATGGAGGAGTATTCAGAAGGACACAAAGATTTCCAGAAGGACGTTATGGAGAATCAGCCGCCTCTCACATCACCGGGTAAGAGGAGACTTTATTGTAAAGGAGAGAGCAGTACAGAGGGTCCACCTAGATCCCCCATCATCTGATAAACACATAGAAACAATGGATTCAGTCAGTGTGTGTGTTTCCTACAGATGGATCCAGTAATGGGAACCCACCAGAGAGATGTCCCCGTCCTCTGTATTCCCGGGATTCCACACAGAAAGGTCACACCATCCCTCACCATCATCAGGTAGGTGGAACTGACCATGTAGACCTAAAAATGTATTTTCTTATTATTCTATGCAATTCCTTTTTTAAAAATGTCATCTTTGGGGTTTAGGATGAAGAACTGAAAGCCATCAAAGTTAAAGAGGAAGAAGAAGAAATATCTGTGAGTGAAGCTCAGAAGTCTTTGGAGGAGGATAGTCCTCTGTTTTCTGGGGATTCCACACAAGAAGAGAACTCTACAGAGTATGATCAGGTAGATGGGACTAAGCAACAGAACTAAAAAAAATGATTGTGAAACTATAAAATGTCATTCTTCTATGTATTGTCAGAAATGACTATTTTTCAGCTGTTATAATGTATCATTCATGGGGTTTAGAGTGAAGAACTGAAGGACATCAAAATTAAGATTAAAGAGGAAGAAGATGATGATGAAGAAGAAGAAGAGACAGTTGTGAGTGGAGCTCAGCGGTCATTGAACTCTTCTCTTTATATTGACACATGTAAGTATAAAAACCCTAAAATGTGTAAAATGGTTGACATTTTAATTCTATGATTATTTAAATTGTTACATTGGTTAAAAAAACAAACAAAAAAAAAAAAACACCACACAACCAAATGCATCAAGTTGCCCCCCCAAAAAAAGCAAAGTGGCAGCTGATCCAGAAGAAGACGGAAAATCTGTTTAAAGCGTGGTCCAATTTTCGTCAAAAGAATCCCTTACAGATTCCAAAAGCCAATCTCATAATTCTCCAGATCAATATTCTACAAATCTTGAAAAACATCCTGACTGTTTTTTTTTTTGCATAGGGAATCAATTTGAAAAGGTTCCTTATATTCCCATTTTTATAGCTCCTACAGCAAAGAACCCTCTCAGTATACAGAGGTTATTCCATCTATCCTCTTCTGTGCTGTCCCCGTTCAAAACAGAGATCTTCACATTCTTCATGAAAGGAAAGCTAGTAAAAACTTTATTAAAATCGCTACCTCACCAATAGTGATCTAAATAAATGAAGTGGAAGTATTGTAGGCTCCATGAAAGGTCCATCTCCATTCCTCAATATAACGTCATTTTCCCAACAAATGAGGAGCAGATACTGTCCATCATATGAAAGGTCCATCTCCATTCCTCAATATAACGTCATGTTCCCAACAAATGAGGAGATACTGGACACCATATGAAAGGTCCATCTCCATTCCTCAATATAACGTCATGTTCCCAACAAATGAGGAGATACTGTACAGCATAGGAAAGGTCCTTCTCCATTCCTCAATATGACGTCATGTTCCCAACAAATGAGGAGGAGATACTGGACACCATATGAAAGGTCCATCTCCATTCCTCAATATGACGTCATGTTCCCAACAAATGAGATACTGGACACCATATGAAATGTCTATCTCCATTCCTCAATATAACCTCATGTTCCCAACAAATGAGGAGGAGATACTGTACACCATATGAAAGGTCCATCTCCATTCCTCAATATAACGTCATGTTTCCAACAAATGAGGAGGAGATACTGGACACCATATGAAAGGTCCATCTCCATTCCTCAATATACCGTCATGTTCTCAACAAATGAGGAGGAGATACTGGACACCATATGAAAGGTCCATCTCCATTCCTCAATATAACGTCATGTTCCCAACAAATGAGGAGGAGATACTGGACACCATATGAAAGGTCCATCTCCATTCCTCAATATAACGTCATGTTCCCAACAAATGAGGAGATACTGGACACCATATGAAAGGTCCATCTCCATTCCTCAATATAACGTCATGTTCCCAACAAATGAGGAGATACTGTACAGCATAGGAAAGGTCCTTCTCCATTCCTCAATATGACGTCATGTTCCCAACAAATGAGGAGGAGATACTGGACACCATATGAAAGGTCCATCTCCATTCCTCAATATGACGTCATGTTCCCAACAAATGAGATACTGGACACCATATGAAATGTCTATCTCCATTCCTCAATATAACCTCATGTTCCCAACAAATGAGGAGGAGATACTGTACACCATATGAAAGGTCCATCTCCATTCCTCAATATAACGTCATGTTTCCAACAAATGAGGAGGAGATACTGGACACCATATGAAAGGTCCATCTCCATTCCTCAATATACCGTCATGTTCTCAACAAATGAGGAGGAGATACTGGACACCATATGAAAGGTCCATCTCCATTCCTCAATATAACGTCATGTTCCCAACAAATGAGGAGGAGATACTGGACACCATATGAAAGGTCCATCTCCATTCTCAATATAACGTCATGTTCCCAACAAATGAGGAGGAGATACTGGACACCATATGAAAGGTCCGTCTCCATTCCTCAATATAACGTCATGTTCCCAACAAATGAGGAGGAGATACTGGACACCATATGGAAGGTCCATCTCCTTTCCTCAATATAACGTCATGTTCCCAACAAATGAGGAGGAGATACTGGACACCATATGAAAGGTCCATCTCCGTTCCTCAATATAAAAAAAAAAAAAATGAATTCTTATAACATTTTCATACAACTTTCTTTTCTATAGATGGAAACTATTTCGGGAACTCCTATGAGGGACGTCCTCCATTGTCTCCAGATAATTCAGAAGACAATGGCAACACACAACACTCCCCGTCACTGAATCCCGTTACACCCAATATACGTCAAATCCCTGACCGTCTGGAGAGATCAGTGGATCCCCCAAATCCTGAGGAGTTTTCTACCGATTTACATTCAGTGACCCCAGATAGACACGTAGGACCTCCCAGTGTAGAGAGGTCAACAGATCCATCCAATTCAAAAGACTTTTCACCCAGCCACGAAGGATTTCACACAGGGGAGCGTTTATTCTCATGTTTGGTGTGCGGGAAATCTTTCAATCACAACAGAAAACTTGTTAGACACCAGAGAATTCACACAGGCGTGCGTCCCTATGCGTGTTCGGAGTGCGGGAAATGTTTTTCTGTGAGGGGAAAACTTCTCATACACCAGAGAATCCACACAGGTGAGCGTCCTTTTTCATGTTCAGAGTGCGGGAAGTGTTTCTCTGAGAAAGGGAAACTTCATTTACACCAGAGAAGTCACACGGGGGAGCGTCCCTATTCCTGTTCGGAGTGCGGGAAAAGTTTTAACCAGAAAGGAAACCTCCTTAAACACCAAAGATGTCACACGGGCGAGCGTCCATATTCGTGTTCAATCTGTGGGAAATGTTTCATTGAGAAAAACGCACTTCTTATACACCCAGAGGATTCACACAGGCGAGCGTCCTTATTCCTGTTCAGAGTGCGGGAAATGTTTCATTCAGAAAGGAAACCTTCTTAAACATCAGAAACGTCACACGGGTGAGCGTCCTTTTTCGTGTAAAGAGTGCGGCAAATGTTTCACTAAGAAAACCGCATTTGTTACACACCAGAGCACCCACACAGGCGAGCGTCCCTATTCATGTTCGGTGTGCGGGAAATGTTTTCTTATGCAAAATGCACTTGATAGACACAGCAAGATTCACACAGGTGAGGGTCCGTATTCATGTTCGGAGTGTGGAAAATGTTTCATTCAAAAGGCAAACCTTCTTAAACACGAGAGATGTCACACAGGTGAGAGTCCCTTTTCATGTTCAGAGTGTGGGAAATTTTTTACTGACAAAAATGTACTACTTATACACCAGAGAAGTCACACTGGTGAGCATTCCTATTCGTGTTTAGAATGTGGGAAAACTTTTGTTCACAAAGGAGAGTTTCGGAAGCACCAGAAAAGTCACATGAATGAGCCTCCATATTCATGCTCAGAGTGCGGGAAAATATTTACAGAGAAAACATTATTTCTTACGCACAAAAAAGATCACCAGGGTGAACGTTCCTTTTCATGCCCAGAGTGCGGGAGATGTTTCAGCCAGAAAGGAAACCTTCTTAGACACCAGAGAATTCACACAGGCGAGCGTCCTTTTTCGTGTTCAGAGTGCGGGAAGTGTTTCATTCAGAAAAGAGACCTTTTCAGACACCAGAGATGTCACACTGGCGAGCATCCTTATTCGTGTTCCGAGTGTGGGAAATGTTTCACCGACAAAAACGTCCTCCTCCTACACCAGAAAATTCACACGGGCGAGCGGGACTATTCTTGTTCAGTGTGCGGGAAATGTTTCATTCAGAAAAACTCACTTATCAGACACCAGAGGGTTCACACTGGCGAGCGTCCCTATTCGTGCTCGGAGTGCGGGAAATGTTTCATTCAGAAAGTGGACCTTATCGACCACCAGAGGATTCACACCGGCGATCGCCCCTTTGCATGTTCGGAGTGCGGGAAATGTTTCAGTTACAAAAAATCACTGATCACACACCAGAGAACTCACATGGTCCAGGTCACGATTAAAGAAGAGGAAATTGAAATTATGACGATCCTCTGATCTTGGATTTTTTTTTTTTGCTACACTGACCTGTCATGCAGCATTGCTTTGGATTCAGAGACTCGCCTGCCCACAGGATCCAGAGTTGTCCCTGTGATTCCCTGCAGCAGTCCAGGTCTCGTGCCACCATTTTGGTCCTCCTCGTCATTGGAAGCAGGCGGCCTCCGATGATGACAGCAGCTCCGCCCACTGGCCGCTATTAACTCCTATACCTGCAGCCTCCTGGTATGTGTGAGGTTGAATCCAAGGAGGCGGAGTTATCAGCAGCACATCATTGTTGCCTAAGTGTGATTGGGTGTAGGTGAGCAAAGCTACAAGTTTAAAAAAAAAAAAAAAAGCCTAAAACATCCTTCTCTGCCGAATCATACATCAGAGGATGGCAGTTGAGTAGAGCGCTTTAGATGCTATGGGGAGGGGAGGAGTGAAGGTCCGCTTTAACTATTAATACATTTGATTTTTTTACTTTTTTGGGGGTTTTTTTGTGCTTATAAAAGGATTACTTTAGTTATATGCTTTGTTGTCATGTGTTCATCGATTATTCTGCTTGTAAAATAAACCAGAAGGCTACACACGTCGTAATGTTTTCTTCTAGTCTTTTTTTTTTTTTTTTTGATTGATTGATTATTGGAATCCCATCATAAAGATTAAAAAAAGAGAATGTAGTGTGGATGGTGGGGGGAGGAGAGCTGTCAGAGAATGTAGTGTGGATGGTGGGGGGAGGAGAGCTGTCGGAGAATGTAGTGTGGATGGTGGGGGGAGAGCTGTCAGAGAATGTAGTGTGGATGGTGGAGGAGAGTTGTCAGAGAATGTAGTGTGGATGGTGGGGGGAGGAGAGCTGTCGGATAATGTAGTGTGGATGGTGGAGGAGAGCTGTCAGGGAATGTAGTGTGGATGGTGGGGGGAGGAGAGCTGTCAGAGAATGTAGTGTGGATGGTGGGAGGAAAGCTGTCAGAGAATGTAGTGTGGATGGTGGGAGGAGAGCTGTCAGAGAATGTAGTGTGGATGGTGGGGGGAGGAGAGCTGTCGGAGAATGTAGTGTGGATGGTGGGGGGAGAGCTGTCGGAGAATGTAGTGTGGATGGTGGGGGAAAGCTGTCAGAGAATGTAGTGTGGAGTGTGGGGGAGAGCTGTCGGAGAATGTAGTGTGGATGGTGGGTGGGGGGGGGGGGGGGGTGGGGGTGGGGTGTGTGGATGGTGGGGGGGAGAGCTGTCAGAGAATGTAGTGTGGATGGTGGGGGAGGAGCTGTCAGAGAATGTAGATTGGATGGTGGAGGAGAGCTGTCAGAGAATGTACTGTGGATGGTGGGGAGAGAGCTATCAGAGAATGTAGTGTGGATGGTGGGGGGGAGAGAGCTGTCGGATAATGTAGTGTGGATGGTGGAGGAGAGCTGTCGGAGAATGTAGTGTGGATGGTGAAGGAGAGCTGTCAGAGAATGTAGTGTGGATGGTGGGGGGGTGAGGAGAGCTGGCAGAGAATGTACTGTGGATGGTGGGAGGAAAGCTGTCAGAGAATGTAGTGTGGATGGTGGGGAGAGAACTAACAGAGAATGTAGTGTGGATGGTGGGGAGGAGAGCTGTCAGAGAATGTAGTGTGGATGGTGGGGAGAGAGCTATCAGGAATGTAGTGTGGATGGTGGAGGAGAGTTGTCAGAGAATGTAGTGTGGATGGTGGGGGGAGGAGAGCTGTCGGATAATTAGTGTGGATGGTGGAGGAGAGCTGTCAGAGAATGTAGTGTGGATGGTGGAGGAGAGCTGTCAGAGAATGTAGTGTGGATGGTGGAGGAGAGCTGGCAGAGAATGTAGTGTGGATGGTGGAGGAGAGCTGGCAGAGAATGTACTGTGGATGGTGGAGGAGAGCTGTCAGAGAATGTAGTGTGGATGGTGGGGGGAGGAGAGCTGTCAGAGAATGTAGTGTGGATGGTGAGGGGAGGAGAGCTGTCAGAGAATGTAGTGTGGATGGTGGAGGAGAGCTGTCAGAGAATGTAGTGTGGATGGTGGGGGGAGGAGAGCTGTCAGAGAATGTAGTGTGGATGGTGGAGGAGAGCTGTCAGAGAATGTACTGTGGATGGTGGAGGAGAGCTGTCAGAGAATGTAGTGTGGATAGTGGGGGGAGGAAAGCTGTCAGAGAATGTAGTGTGGATGGTGGCAGGAAAGCTGTCAGAGAATGTAGTGTGGATGGTGGAGGAGAGCTTGCAGAGAATGTAGTGTGGATGGTGGAAGAGAGCTGTCAGAGAATGTAATGTGGATGGGGGAGGAGAGCTGTCAGAGAATGTAGTGTGGATGGTGGGGGGAGGAGAGCTGTCAGAGAATGTAGTGTGGATGGTGAGGGGAGGAGAGCTGTCAGAGAATGTAGTGTGGATGGTGGAGGAGAGCTGTCAGAGAATGTAGTGTGGATGGTGGGGGGAGGAGAGCTGTCAGAGAATGTAGTGTGGATGGTGGAGGAGAGAGCTGTCAGAGAATGTACTGTGGATGGTGGAGGAGAGCTGTCAGAGAATGTAGTGTGGATAGTGGGGGGAGGAAAGCTGTCAGAGAATGTAGTGTGGATGGTGGCAGGAAAGCTGTCAGAGAATGTAGTGTGGATGGTGGAGGAGAGCTTGCAGAGAATGTAGTGTGGATGGTGGAAGAGAGCTGTCAGAGAATGTAATGTGGATGGGGGAGGAGAGCTGTCGGACAATGTAGTGTGGATGGTGGGGGAGAGCTGTCGGAGAATGTAGTGTGGATGGTGGAGGAGAGCTGTCAGAGAATGTAGTGTGGGGATGGTGGAGGAGAGCTGTCGGAGAATGTAAATGTGGATGGGGGAGGAGAGCTGTCAGAGAATGTACTGTGGATGGTGGGGGGAGGAGAGCTGTCAGAGAATGTAGTGTGGATGGTGGAGGTGAGCTGTCAGAGAATGTTATGGGCTGAGATTCTTCTCTTCAGAACCTGAGACTTTCAACACTGCTCATATGGTCATTTCCCATAGAAGAGTTCAGCATGGGGTTGAGTAATGCCAAAGGTCCCTGATGTCAGAAGAGGACTAACTGCTTCTCTATAGAAGATCTATGCAAAGTTGACATAGACAGTTGGGGAACTAACAAGACCCCGTCTGATGAGACTTTTTCCTCACTGTAGATGGGTGTATTGGGGTTCGGTGGGGCCTGCCAGTCCCGAGCAGTACTAGACATCTTTCAATCTCAAAAAAAGCAAAGTGTTTCCAAAAGGAACATTGGAAGTTCAAAGATCAGCATTTCTATAGAGGCACCAATGGAAAACATCAATTTAGATACGGGTTAGAACTCTCCCTTACCCTAACAGATTTTTGAGGGAATCCAAGTCCTTCGGCAGGGTCACCAGAACTAGCGTCCCCTTTGGAAGATTCCTCCTCCTCTTTCCTGTTCTAGGGCCAGTTTAAAATTCTGGATTTTCTTTTACTTTTGATGATGATAGTAAACAGGACCAAGAGAGAGGGCGAGTCTACCCAACGGGGTCACCGACAACGAAACCTGAAGAGGGGTTCCAAGCCATCTCCACTCCATCCAAAACCAAAGCTTTACTTTACGTGCCTCGGACTTTCCGCCCAGAATTGTGGATATGAGGAAATTTATATAGTTTTCAAATACATTTGTATCTCAAAATTTAAGTTCTGTTTTTCATGATTTATATATTTGTGGATTGTAATATGCAATCTAAATTGTGTTCATTATTTATTTTTTTTTATTAGTTGGTTTTTACCTTCACATAATACAATTTTTATAGATATTGAGGATCGCACCAAGAATCAGGGGCCAAAATACTGAAAAAACAATGTAGGCTGCAGTTTTGATATTCTCCTGGAGGTGGCCCGCCCTGGTTATTGTCAATGGACCGCAGAGACAGGAAGTGATGTCATATATACATAGGAAGTTCCAGGTGAAAGGTCAGCTGGACGGAAGTAGAGAGCAGACATTGTTGGAACTGGCAGAGGAGGGTAATAAGAACTTATTTTATATTTACACCCAGTAACCCCACGTCATGTCCGTCCTCTTCCTCCTTCATCATGTCCTTCCTCCATCATCACCGTGATGTCTTTTTATCTTCTATAGAACCATTTATCCAACCGTCCATCCAGAGCCTCTGGTTTATAGATCGGATAGATCCTAAATATAGAACCATTTATCCAACCGTCCATCCAGAGCCTCTGGTTTATAGACCGGATACGTCCTAAATATAGAACCAT